AGAACTATCATAACTTCCCAATCGCAGAAGATCATTCGATGACAAAAAAGCTAAAATGTTTTTGTATAGCTATGCTACTACCATCAACATCAGAAAAAAATCCAACATCAGGAATTTTACAGCTGATATGTCAGAATAGTTTAAGTAAAGGAAGTGTTTGAATGTTATGCAAATCATATAGTTTTGTACTAATATGAATGTATATTGTTATAAACATACATGTATGTATACATGTTTGTGTACACTTCATTATACAGAAATGTTTAAAAATGGAAAAAATAGGAAAACATAATTAAAAAGAGGATAGAAACATTTTATAAACCACGTATCTAGTCTTTAAATACAGAATTAAGCATTAACTATGTAGTTCAATATTGATCATACTTTCTATTATGCTAATATAGAGCCACTTAATAAATAGAGAACAACACATTTCATCCTAGATTGAAATCCCAGTCCAGACTATGATATTTTTTCTTATGTGTAGCAAAATAGTTTTCTTGGCTATACCTGATATTTGATCATCCAAACTTTTGGTATAGGGATAATCCTCAATTTGTGACAGTTCACTTAATGACCATTTGAAGTTATGACCTAACACCTCCCCCCCCAAATACGACATGGTCCTGAAATTATGAATGTTGCAGCACCACAGCAGTTGTTAACACTTACAAATGACTGCAGAGACTCTGCAACATTCACCCTGCCTATTCCCCCCCCCCCCCCCCCCCCAGGTCTCTATAGGCACTAAGCCTGTGGATATTCATTTTGCAAAGATCTAAGGAGCCTTCAGTTTCTTGGCCTCTTTGGTGCTTCAGAACTTCAGTGCATTTGCAGAAAATGGAGGCCTAAAAGTACCACAAGGTCATGCAAGATCAATAGCATGAGATTTCATTTTAAGCCTCTGTTCTCTGCAAATGGAGGCCTGGACAAGGAGGGAAGACCTGAAACATGGAAGCCTTCCCTTTGTTTGCAAAGCCTTTTGCTGTATTTACAAAACCCCTTCGCTGCCAAGAATAGAGGCTGGGAGGGGTGTGCTTGTCCTTCTGAGTCTCTGTTTCATTGACAAAGTTTTCCTCATGCCCTTCGCCGATGAGAACAGAGCCGGGATGTCCATGTGTGTCCCTCCAGGGTTCTGTTCTCTTCTGCAAAGGCCTCCTCAAGCCCTTTGCTGATGTAAACGGAGACCAGGACTGTTATGTCCCTGGAACTAAAAGAAGTTCCCACCCAGGTCCGTTCGTGCTGCGGGGGCGGTTGCCCTCTCTCGTTGGTTGGTTCTCCCCAGCAGCCAGCTATAAAAGCAGGCTACGGGGTCCAACCAGTTGCTGATCGCTGCGAGCCAGTTCCAGGCTTGGCAAGCACGTTCAGTCCTTTATTATTCTAATAAAGTATTTGTTGCATCCATGCCCTGGTTCAGCCTCTCATTACCCGAACTTAACACTGGCGACGAGGATGGGATGGCTACCAGAGGCACAATGCAACCGCTGAATCACTAGCCGCTGATCCGCAGCCAGAGAGAGCGGTCAGCAGGCGATAAGAGCAAACGCTGATCCACAGCCAGAGAGAGCGGTCAGCAGGCAACGAGAGCGAACGCTGATCCGCAGCCAGAGAAAGCGGTCAGCAAGCAGCGAGAGTGAGAAGCGTCTGTAGCCGCTAGTTAGCCTAGCTACAGGGAAAGTGAAGCGCTGCGAGCCGCAGCCGCTCGTTTCTTTTGGCGCGAAATTCAAACGGCTGTCATTTGAATTTCCGCCCTAGAAGTACAGCGCGGTGCTGTATTACAAAGTCACTGACGCCCACGCAGGCGCGAATTTCAAAACGCTGCCAACGACCGTTGCAGCCTAACCTCGTGTTAACCCAGAGAGAGAGAGAGAGTTGTGAAAAGCCTCTCCAGAGCTGAAATCACTTGCCTGCCACAGGCACAAAAACCTTCCTGCTGCTGCCCCAGAGAGATTTTCTCAACAGATTATCCAACCTGATTTTTTCTTCATCATGAACTCCAACCCAGTTTTCCCAGCGTTCAAGCCAGATGAGGAGAAGTGGGAGTCATACAAGAATCGCTTTAACCATTACATCGACGCAATTGGGTTGGCTGATGCAGGGGAGCACCGGAAAAAATCATATTTCCTGATCTACTGTGGAGCCATCGTCTTTGATACTGCCACAGCACTCGTGGCTCCACGTGAGTTAAAAAACGTTCCCTGGACAGAACTGTTAGAAATCCTTACTAACCACTATTCTCCCAGACCCTCACAGATTGCCAGGCGGTTCACTTTCCGAATGAGGAAGCAATCAGACAAAGAGACCATCAACCAGTACATGGCTGCCCTCAGGACTGCAGCTCTCCATTGTGGGTTTGGAACCTACCTGGAGGACATGCTCCTCGACCAGCTAGTCTGCGGAGTCAAGGACCTTCACCTCCAAAGGCGCCTACTCGCTAAGAAGGACCTCAACCTCACGCAAGCCGTCGAGGAAGCCCTGGCAGCAGAGCTGGCAGCACACTCAGCCACCGAAATCCAAGGTCCTGCTTCCAAGCAAAGTGCAGTTTCAGTCCACTCTGAAGAGGTGGTCATCGAAGAGGACCCCAGCGATGCAGCCGACATCCATCGCCTCGCCCATGCCAGACAACCGCAGGTAGGAGCCAAGCAAGAAAGCGTCAGTCCACCCAAGCACATCACCCTGTGCCTATCCTGTGGTGGATCTCACCTGAGGACCACCTGCAAATTCAAGGGAGCCACTTGCAACATTTGCCACAAAAAGGGGCACATCGCTAGAGTCTGCCAGGCCGCTCACAACTCGGCACAAAGGCACCCCTCCTTTTCACATTCTGGACCCCAAAGGCAAGTATTGAACTGTCGCACTCGCCACCATGCTAAGCACGCTTGCCATGCCATTAGTAAAATCTCTCTCTCCGTTTTGTTAGAAGGTAGACCTTGTCGCATGGAGGTTGACACGGGGTCAGCGCTCTCAATTATCTCTTGGAGCACCATCAAGAGACTACAGCCCAATCTATCCAGAAACCGGCTCCAGAAGTGCCAGTTTAGCCTGAAGGACTACCAGGGGAAGGGCATTCCTGTAATCGGCAGAGGCAAGTTTCTTGTCAATTTTAAAACTTTCAAAGGCCACCTACCTCTAGTGGTAGTTAACGGCAACCTCCCCACACTCTTGGGGCTTGATTGGTTCCCCCATCTCGGCCTAGGGTTAACAGGAGTCCATGCTGTCTCAACCTCAGACACTGACTCCTTATTCGCTGACTACTCAGACGTATTCAGCAATGAACTGGGGTGTTATAACGGTACCCCTATCTCATTCTCAGTCGACCCCCAAGCAGTCCCAATCAGGCTAAAACCTCGTAGAGTCCCATTCGCTATTCGGCCTAAATTAGATGCGGAACTGGATAAATTATTAAAACAAGGGGTCATTGAGCCAACAGATTTCACCAAATGGGAGACGCCCATTGTCACACCCCTCAAAAAAGACGGTAGCCTGAGAATTTGCTCGGACTACAAAACCACAATTAATAAGTTTTTACAAGTTAGCGCTTACCCAGTGCCCGTCATTCAGCATTTATTACACACTTTTGAACCTGGCAGCATTTTTGCCAAATTGGACATGTCTCAAGCGTATCAACAGTTCCCTGTTGACAACCAAACAGCGGAACTCCAGACCATCGTCACCCACAGGGGTGCTTTCCGGTGCAAGCGTCTCCAATTTGGCGTAAGTGTTGCCCCAGGCATTTTTCAATCCCTCATGGAGCGGATTTTGCAGGGCCTCCCTGGTGTAGTACCCTACTTCGACGACATCTTAGTCTCAGCCAGGGACAGACCCCAACTCTTCCAGAGAGTTCGAGCAGTGTTAGAGAGGTTCAGACAGCATGGCCTCAAATTAAAAAAAGAAAAATGTGCCATTGCCACTAGACAGGTGGACTTTCTGGGTTATAAAATTGACGCCTCAGGCATTCACCCCCTGGAGTCCAAGGTTAAGGCAATTCACGAGGCACCCACTCCAACCTCCAAAGCGGAACTACAGGCCTTCTTGGGGCTATTAAATTTTTACGCGTCGTTCCTGCCCCATAAAGCATCTGTGGCGGAACCTCTGCACAGACTTTTGGATAAAAAATCGGCTTGGCATTGGGGTCACAAGGAAGACTCCGCTTTTCGCGCAGTCAAATCACTACTCACGTCGGAGGCGGTCCTTATTCAGTTTGACCCCAACCTTCCATTAGTGCTAGCAGCGGATGCATCCCCTTTTGGAATTGGGGCAGTGTTAAGCCACAGGCTCCCCAATGGCCCCGAGGCCCCCATCGCTTTTTTTTCCAGGACGCTCTCTGCAACAGAGCACAACTATAGCCAAATCGATAAGGAAGCTTTAGCAGCTGTCGCAGCTGTGAAGAAATTCCATGAATTTCTTTTTGGCCACTTTTTCGAGCTGGTCACGGATCATAAGCCTCTCCTGGGCCTACTAGCAGGTGACAAACAGACCCCTCAAGTCCTGTCTCCTAGAATGACGAGGTGGACTCTTTTCCTAGCAGCATACTCGTATAGACTCATACACCGTCCAGGTAAAACACTGTCTCACGCAGACGCCCTCAGCTGCTGCCCCCTGCCTGCTCCAGCTGAGGATCCGGCCCCGGTCCACGCTATCTTTGAGGTCACCCAACTGGACCTCCCCATCACTGCCCTTGACATTGCCGCCAAATCCAAGGCAGACAAAACGATCGCCCAGGTACTGGACTGGGTGAGGAGGGGGTGGCCGAGCAGTGATGTTGAAACCAAATTCACGCCTTTTAAGACCGCCTACAGGAGTTATCCAGTTTGCAGGGCTGTTTGCTGTGGGGCACACGAGTGGTCATCCCGACCTCACTGCGTACCCGAGTTTTGGAGGCGTTGCACGAGGGCCACCCTGGCATCGTCAGAATGAAGGCATTAGCACGCAGCTACGTATGGTGGCCCGGCCTCGACGATGACATCAGCAGATGGGTAAGCTCCTGCCATCCCTGCCAGGAATCCCGTCCATCCCCTCCAATTGCCACCCCCACCAAGTGGGAAAGCGCCAGCGCACCCTGGTCCAGGATTCACATCGACCTAGCGGGCCCGACACACGGCAAAATGTTCCTGGTGGTCGTGGACTCTTACTCTAAATGGATTGACGTGGCACAACTGTCCACAACCACCACGCAAGCGGTCACCAAGGTATTAACTCGCCTATTCATAACGCACGGGCTTCCAGACTCAATTGTTTCCGACAATGGCCCCCAGTTCGCATCGGCTGAGTTCAGTTGCTTCGCTGCCAATCTGGGCATCCGCCACATCTTCACGGCTCCCTTTCATCCTGCCAGTAACGGGTTGGCAGAAAGAGCCATTAGGACCACTAAAGAGGCTCTGGCTAGGTTCAGCAAGGAAGACTGGCACCACAAACTCTCCCGTTTCTTGCTGAGCCAGCACTCAACCCCATGCACAGTCACTAATAAGTCCCCGGCTGAACTCCTGATGGGTAGACGCCTGCGGACTGTATTGGACAGGCTGCACCCACATTACTGCCCTGACTCTCCCCTCGCTTCCACATCGGGGGTTAGGCATTTTGTCTTACAGGAACCCGTGTTCGCGAGGAACTTCGCTGGAGACCCTCTGTGGATCCCGGGTGAGGTCGTGGCCATCACCGGACCCAGGTCGTATAGAGTCAGACTGGAGGATGGCCGGATCTGGAGAAGGCACCTGGATCAGCTGCGGAAGCGCCAAGACACTCACGTTAGCAGTGACTCATGGTTGCAGACCGGTGCAGGGCTACAGCATCAACCCCACATCAGCACCAATTCCAGGGACCAGTTCACGCCTGCAGCCGAGTCGGGGACCCCGAACACGACCCGTGACCACCTGAGGGCTGACCAGTCCGAACCAGCCAACGGAAACACATCCCCAGCGATCAGCCCTACAAGCCCCGATCCGGCACTGACCGAGGAACGCGTTCGTGACACCCCACCGGTCCAACCTTCAGTTGCAGACTCTGATCTACCAGACAATTCCCCAGAGTTGCGCCGTTCTGGGCGCCAGCACAAGCCTCCCGCGTACCTTAAAGACTATGCGTGTTCGCATCTGGGGGGAAGGGGTGTTATGTCCCTGGAACTAAAAGAAGTTCCCACCCAGGTCCGTTCGTGCTGCGGGGGCGGTTGCCCTCTCTCATTGGTTGGTTCTCCCCAGCAGCCAGCTATAAAAGCAGGTTGCGGGGTCCAACCAGTTGCTGATCGCTGCGAGCCAGTTCCAGGCTTGGCAAGCACGTTCAGTCCTTTATTATTCTAATAAAGTATTTGTTGCATCCATGCCCTGGTTCAGCCTCTCATTACCCGAACTTAACAAGGACGGCCATGTGCATCCCCTCCAGGCCTCTGTTCTCATTGGCAAAGGCCTTGTTCTCTTCAGCAAAGGCCTCCTCAGGCCCTTTGCCGATTAAAATGGAGGCCAGGACAGTTTTTTTAAAAAAACAATTTTTATTCAATTTTTCACATAAAAACAAAAAGCTCTTTTTAGTGGACAACATATTTCTGGGTCATCACATTTACATACAAATATGACAACAGTTATACATTCATATATGCATACTTAATTCTATTATTACCTTTCCCATTCCAAATTTTCAATAAGGAGAGAAACAAACAAATTAATCGTAGTCTCTTACATTAATCTCAATCAAAACATCTTTTCTTTTCATTTCAATTATTTCAAATATAATCCTTTAATATTTATTATAAAAATAAACAATATGTTTGCCTAATAATAATAATAATAGTTACCAATGTCTCTCCTTCCTTTTAATAGTCTAAATTAATTTATTTATTTAAGTAGTTCTTTAATCTGTCATATTCCCTTTTCATCACACATTCTTTTTATAGATTCTAGATTAATACAAGTTTTAACACAAAAGAAAAACAAACAATATAGGTTTCCCCCCTTTTACTGCTTTGAGTGTGACACCTCAGTGGTTAAAATATGCCTTTATTCACTCATCTTGATTCCCAATAAACCATTATTTTTAAGAAGTTATAATAATAATAATTACATCTTTTTGTTTGGATTCCACAGCATATTTCCCCCCCTTAATTTTATTTCTAATTTCAAAAAAGTAAAAGGGAAAAAACTGACTATTCAAATTCTGGTCACTGATATTGACCTCATTTTTAAACATCTTCACATTCATTTCAATTATTACAATTTCTTCAATAAACCTTAACTTTTCTTTTAAGAATAAAAAATGAAAATGTATATTCATCTAATAAAAGTTATCAGTATCTATCCCTCCTTTAATAATCTATATTATCCTATTTTCTAAATATTTTTAATTGCAGATATATTCTTGTTACCCCTTGTCACCCTGCAGAATCCCCTTTTTATCTCTGAAAAAGCGATTTCTTTTCATCATTTTACTATTCCTGAATTTCTTTATTTCATGCACCTGTTTCTTACTGCTCCTCCTCCCACTCTTTTCCCCATATCTTTTCTCATTCCAGTTTATATCCCTCTCTTTCTTGATATCTTCCTTTCCCCTTTTCTGCTGGATCTTTCTACCTCTCCTGATTTCACAGGTATTCCCCTTTTAGATTACCTTCTTAAATCTCAACCTTTTAGCCTTCCTTCTTTCCCCACTTCTTTGTAGTGTTCTTTGTGTTAATTGTCTATTTAAAATGTCTTCTCCTTGAATCGACTCCTCCTCCTCTGAAGTTCTTTCTTCTTGTTCTTCAATCGCCATTTCCATTTTTTCTAACACAGAGCAAAGTGATTCGCCTCTTTCCTGTAGTAATTCTCTCATATTTTCAAGTTCCATTTTTAATTCCTGAAGAGATATCATCATTACACACTCTTATATTTTATAATCGTTGAAGTCCACAAAAAACACTTTTACTTTCCTTCTTTCTTCTTTCAATTTTCTAAAATTCTCAGTTATTCCAGCTGAGGGTCTATACCAAAAACATCAATCAATCCCACAATCAGTCTTTCCTTGCTTCTTTCTTTATTCTGGTTCAGCTTTCACTTTCTAAGATTCTTATTTTGTTTCAATATTTCTTTAACATTATATCAACACAAGTTCATTCAGAAACAGGATGCTTTCCCTTTTGCTTGAGCTCAAGTTTTTGTCAGAAGATGGCACTCTCCATTATACAAAGTCTTCACCTTTTCCCCCTATTTTTTTATTTAGGGTTTTTCGAACCTCAATATTCCAGAACAATCCAGTCTCCAATTTGTAAATTTTATTATTATTATTTTTTGACAATCTTAAGTCCAGCTTTATTTTATGCCTGTTTATTGCCAAAATATTTTAGTCCAATTTAATTAAATCTTTAGTTCCGGCTTCTTCCTTTCCTGCTTTGAAGCCTTGCTTAGCTGTCAAAAATATTTTCTTATTTATTTTTTCTGTCCCTTTGTATTTTCGCTGCTCACTTTTCTTTTCTTAAAAGTTCAATGTTACCTTAATCCTGGGATACTTTTGTTTAGTTGTGTTGCCCAATTGTCCTGGTTCAGATGTTATCCACCTCTTTCATCCCCCCTGCACAAATCTTAGTCCAGCTGAGTCCTCCTCTTCGGGGTGGCTATTTTAGACCACCGCTTCAGTTGTCTTCGGGGGGAAAAAGACCAAGCCCAGGAGGGGAGATGCGGCTCCCCTCAACCTGTCTTGTGGCTTCCCCTTACTCCACCACCCTTCCAATGAAGCTTCAGCCCCCTAATCACAATGATAGGGGCTCTCCAACAAAAGAGCATGGACCATAGCTGCGGACAGTCGTGATCTATGCTCCGTCGGCGAGGAGGGCTCAACCTGGAAGTGAGGCCAGGACAATTATGTGCATCCCTCAGGGCCTCCATTCTCTTTGGCAAAGGCCCCCTCAAGCCCATTGCTGATGAGAACAGAGGCCAGGATAGCCACCTGCATCCCCCCAGGCCTCTGTTCTCATCAGGAAAGACCTCCTTCAGAGCTGAAGAAGCTTCTTGGAGAAGAAGTGAAACATCTTCAAAGAAAAAGCAGAAAGCCCAGTTGCCTCTTGAAAAAGCAGCTCTGGGATAATCATGACCTGAGTGACTGAGAATCTCCATAGACAAGTTTTCTGAACATTTTCTGAAATTTCCAACAAACATGAAAAATATGTTAAAGTAGTATTACGGTAATATTATCTTAATTGTTGATTAAGTAATAGCTTAATAAACATTCCAGACTTCTTGTGAATGACTAATAGCCACCTTAACTGTACTGTTTAAATATCTATAAAACATTATTGTCAACTCTGAAGTGAACCTGGCTGAAGCCATCTTTTGCAGCCTCATAGTTGCCATGAACTCTGAGAGGGGGAAGAGAAGGGGATGTTTTCTTGTGGGAACCAAGGTCATCCCAAGAGGCGATAGTTGAAGGAGAAGAGGAGTGAACAAGCAGCCTACCAGCTACTTTCATTGGACAATGTGACCAGGGACATCTGGGGAGAGAATCATTTGCTTTTTTAATTAGGGGGAAAACCATGTGAACTTTCAGAGTTGGTTTTCTCTAGCTGTGCCAAGATGATGTATCCAATAAACATATTATTTGAGGAGTCTACCTGCCTCGGAGTTCTGCTTTTGGTAAAAGTGTTCCTCAGAACGCTGACAATTATACTGTGCAGTTAGAATTATCCACAGTACCTAAGTGTCAGTTCAGTTTTCAGTGCTGCTAACTCATCTGGATCAAATTGTGAAGTACATGAGATATATACTTCAATTAACTAAATAAACTGAAAATTTACCACATCAATAAACTTTGATAACAGGACACAGAAAATTGTCAATAATACATAATGTACCATTACCGTAAATTACCTTGCATAGATTTCAAAATTTCCTTGCTATTTTCCAAATTTCCTAACTTTATTATTTAAATCTTTTTTCCATGAATGGTCATTAGTAATGTGGCTACAAATATGTCTTAAAAGCACCCAAACATTAAATTCACCAAGCAATGAATAAGTTAGGCTGGGATCAGGTGAAACAAAGAAGTAGAAATCTTTTAAATCTTATTTAATATTTAAATATTTTTAGAGAGCTAGCATGGGAGGAATTTTTTTTATACCTTTAGTATGTCTCTTGTATGTCCTTATGGTTCCTTCCTTCCTTCCTTCCTTCCTTCCTTCCTTCCTTCCTTCCTTCGCATTTGTTCTGTCTTTTCTTCAAATTCTTTATTTTTAATAATATTTTTAAATATATAGAATAATATATTTTAATAATTCTTTTTGTATACATGTTTATGTTTTTACAGTTTGTTTTTTCATTTTATCCCAGTTAAGTATGTATTTTTTCTTTTTCCTTGCTCTATATAACATTTTTACCCAAATTGTCTTTAGTTGCTACCTGGAAAGTAAAAGGTTGCAATTATCCTTATTGTACAGGTATTGATTAAACTGAACAATTTCAAATTGGAGCTTTTTATAATGAACTCTTATTATTCTAGGTAAGAAGGATATCTTATCTAGTTGATGGGTAGGTCATATGTA